CGATGTCCCAGGCGCGAGGGCTGCTCATACGTCGTACTTTGTCATACGGTGATTCGTCAACTTTTTGGTTTGATTTCTTTCTGGGCTGCGTCGTGAAGGCAAGTAGGAGTGCGAGGACTGAAAAGCAATTGTCTCCTTCTTGTAGGACAACTCTGTAGGCCTTCCTACCTGGCAGCCCATGTGCACTTCATTTGAGGAGCTGTTCGCCAACTGCTCAAAGTTGTGGTGTTGGAGATGGGCTGGGCAAAAGACCGCAGCTTGTGACCACGGGGGAAAAGCAATACGATATTCGTGCATCCCCTGTCGACCAGGAGGCCGTGCTGTTTGACAGTCGGGCTGGCCCACAGGCTTTTCTGCGTGCTCCATCAAGGAACGTGAGTTGCGGAAGGAAGAGGGCCAAGATCACAAAGACTTCTCTAAACGGGATCGGCGCAAGCAGATTCTTGGCCATGTCGGTGAGCCATTGTGCACAGGCACTCTGGTTGTCTTTGCCTACTCTGAAATTGCGCAGCAGTAGTGCCTGCGCTTCTTCCATGGAGGCTATTTCTTGCCCAGCGACACACAGCTGGAGAAGTCGGAGGAGTTCCTGATCCGGTTGGTGAAGATTCGATACAAGCATGCTAATTGCTCCTTCCCAGTCATCACTCGCCATGAGGGTTTCGAAGCGAATCCAGGAGGCCAATCGCATAGGTGCAGCGATCCTATCACGGTTAGGAATGACCTCCGGGTGTGTGAGTTTGAGGTCCGTAAGTCTGACTTGCCCTTGGGGGAGTTGGCAGTGCAGCCAATGCCAATAATTATGTTTACAACTACCCATCCAGCGCGCTGATTCCTCCACGTAAGTGATGTGGAGGGATTGCTGAAGCATGCTGAGTTCCTTTGCATCCGGCTTCCAATCACACAGGCAGTCCTCTGTCGCATGGACAAGGTAGTAATGATGTCTCTCCGTGTCAGCGGTGGCTATCAAGGCAGCCAAGACCCCCTTGGGCATGGCAATAGGTCCCAGCCTTGCCGTGACCTGGCAGGTCGGCCATAGGCAGCGAATTGCTAAGGCAATCACTGCTCCAGTATAGCTACCTGCACTAAGTCCATTGACTGTGAAAAGAACGGGGGGTGCTTGCTTCACTTGTCGAAAACAGCTGAGCATGTAGACAGGCGATCAGCTGCAAGGGTTGTAAAGAGAGCAGTTTCCACCAAAGTCCGCTGAGGAAGGCCTTGTGTGGGAGCCTTCTGTGAGCTGGGAGGAGACGGGCGGCCTTCAGTACTCTTTGCGTTCGTTGGTACAATACTGCAGCCTTTCCAAAGCCTAGATCTTCCCACTTGCGACAGGGATCTTGGATGTGCGAAAAGAGGGTGGCAACCTCATGAATGCCAGTTGTACAGCCCGCTGCAACTGCTACATGCTCATCCTGGACGACATCAGCCGGTGAGAGCGATGGGCCATAAACTTGGCTCTCACCGACTGGCGGGCACGTGCAATGGAAATGCGGCGGGATGTTGCCTTCCAAGGCACCCCCTCCGAGGCCGCCACAGTTAATTTGCAGCACAGGGGGAGCGGTAGAGCATCATATCCTATCCAGTACTCGTTTTGTTGAGCTACTGTCCACAGGAGAGTATTCCAAGAGAATTCGGCTTGTTGCCTTTGGTACATGGCTTGAAACACTTCTGAGGCGATTTGTTCCAAGGGCATGATCTGGTCTTGGAGCTGTTCCAGGAGATTGCCATTGGCAGCAAGGAAGAGTTCTTTCTCGCCTGGAAACATGCATTTGGGGTGATCCAAGGCTGCGCGCAGCTCATCATGTGGGCAGGACTCGATGTCCTTATGCACTGCTATCAAACCCCGAAGACTAGCGACCTGGTTCCACGACACGAAAAGCGGGGGAGACAGGAGCTGCGGACTGACAGTAGGCTTACTTAGGTGAACTGCATTGTCACTCCCTGTCGGAGCTGACGCGACAGCTTGGGCAAGGTGCCTTGCTCTGTTGTCCGAATTATTCGACGAGGGAGTGTCAACAGACTCCAGGTCATCACTGTTCCCTTCGGCTGGACAACAGCTAAGGCTGTCACCCTGCGCTTGCTCTGAGAAGAGCTCTGACGCCGGCTGGTAAGCGGCTCGCCACCTCAGCAAGAGACAGAAACGCAGCGCACTATTGCCTACTATACCAGGGCAGTATCCCGTGAATTTGCAACCCCCGATTGGTTTCCAGTTGTCAACCATCCAAGCCGGCGGAAGGCTCGGCATCCCTAAGATGGCCATTGGCAGGGTTTCCCATCCCTGTTTCTCCAAGTCACGCAAGGCTGTCTGCGCTCCAATTTTGGCTTTGCCGAAAGCATGAAATATGGCTCGCATCCGATCTCTTGACAGTGCGCTGGCTTGGAACAGGTGCTCCCCTGGCAGTGATGTGGCTGTGCATGGTCCTTCTAACATGGGGAGCACTGACAAGATCCCCTGCTCGAAAGTGGCTCTAGCCACGGGGTTCGCATTTGCCCAGCAGGCGTGAGAGCTTGAGGGTGGGATTGTCGAGGCCATTTGAGGGATCCACCATCTTCATGTCTGGCAGGGATCAATTTGGGGCAAGGCCAAAAGTTCTTGCACATGTATAAACCATACAATGACCAAACTACGCACAGGTCGAGGGCATTTTGCATGGGAACCCCAACAAAGGGAGTAAACACGGTTCCATTAATAGCAGTTTCACTCGGAGAAACCGGCGGCCTGGCTCTGGAAACTAGGGCGAGTCGATACGCTTGGAGTTCTTTGGCCAACATCGCTGAATTAGGTTTTCTTTCCAGCCGACTGCTCCTATGGCTTTTGCCGATCGAAATGACTAAGCCTGCATTGTACTCCAAGTGCGCCTCCGTGAAAAGCAACATTCCGATTCCACGGCAGGGGTCGGACTCCGTACGCGCATGGCCGACCAGGTCGACCCATTGGAGTTGCTGATGAGCCAGTTCTAGCAAGTCTTGCACTTCAAATAGTGTTACAGGCACACAATCGTTGTCGATGAGTGCAAAGTGCTGTTTGGGGTACAGGAAACGTGCAGCCTCCAGGACAAAAACCCCTCCCCAATAATAGGGTACCCTGTGAAGGCCTGTGGTGTTATCTGCGCAAACCCAGAGCACATCGGTTGCTTCTTCCTGGGGGCCTACTAGGCATCGACGCGAGGCCCACCACGCTGCGAAAGCTGGCCAATGCGGGACTGCTTCAGGCTTACGATTGTCGACAGTGAGGTAGATCATTTGATTGCGAGTGATAAGCTCACTTTGCAACATCAATGCATGTATTATAGCAGTCATGTTGGGGAGGTCCCCATCTATCCCGTCCGTGTCATAACCTTGGTCCTGGTTGGGTGGCTGTGCACGAACGTCAGCCAACATGACCGTAGGCTGTGCGGAGTCCAGGCCAAACGGACTACTAAGTTGATCAGGCATGGCCAAGGCTGCGTAGGCATCCTCTTTAGCCTTCGAGTCACCATCAGATGTGCCTTGCACGAAGAGAGTGCGGCCAGCTTCTGAGAGCCAGTCTGCCGCTTCCTGCGTGAATGCCATAGGTGCCCGGGTTCTGTCATCCATGCTATCATGTAGGTCCAAAGGGTTGTCTGTCATGTCCAGAGGTGGAGTGAAGGTCATCTGCCAGGGATCTTGAGACATCGGTTGCACCTAGTTCGAAAAGGCACGTGCAGCATCCACCAACTAAGGTTGGCAGACGTACAGGCAGGCGCGAACTTAGGTACTCCCTCGGGGATGGTCCGGAGACCCGGGGCATTGCACGATCCACCAAAGTGACCACTAGTGACCACCTCGCTGCACGAACTCGGATACTATTGGAGCGGCCACCACCTTGCACCCTCGTGTTACCTCTCCTTGCGAAGCTGCTTGAGGTGCACCGCCGCAAGGATGCCCTTGCTTCGCTCCTCCCCCCTCCTCCCAGTGGAGGGGGGCAGCAACGCATGCACATGATTGTACATGCAGTGCACCCTAGTGGCCCTTTGCTGACAACTAATCCATTGCCAAAGATGAACCACTCATGAAAGGTCACGCTGCTGGCAATGAAATGCCCTTTCGTTTGGCACGCTAGGGCCTTCTCTCGCAGTGGTTTTCCAATGACCGTCCTCCGAAACTGCTACGCACATGCCTGCTGGTGATTGCTTGCCTGTCGGAATGCCGCTACCTCTCCAAGCCATTGTTTGCGTAAACAGAAAATGCATGGCCTGAGCATACAGGCCATATTGTCGAGTGCGCAAGACATAGGTGCACAAGTGCACGCACCTGCACACAATACTTGTCGAAAATTATTCCCGAACTTTCGCAACAAGTACTGAGAGGCCTTTTTGCTTAATTCGGTGCCCCAAGTAGGTTTCACCTGATCCTATTTTCGTCTCACCATTGCATGACCTACCTGAGTCTCCATAGTCGGCCGTGGGTTTTGTTGTTTTTTGGTTCGGGTTTGCTGTTTTTGGTGGCTTTTGCTCTGTCGTTGCCTCGGCCGGCGACTCATTCACAAGTAGCACAAGCTGACCTGTGCATTCTCTGCACACATGGCGGCTCCACTCGTGAGGATGGGGGAAAGTCGGGGCATGGCATGGAGGAGGGGAGGGCAGGCAGGGAAGCAACGCAGGTCTCATCCCTACGCCCTCCTCGTGCTGTTGGAAAAGGAAGCAAGTGCGGTGCTTTTGATTGTGCCGTTCCCCATCTTCCCCCAACTGGTGCAGACTAAAGGTTTGTTTCTTCAGCGTGAACTTGTGCAATTATGTCATGTTCCACGCGATGGCTGAAGGTGGTACGCTGCAGTGGACACCAACACAAGAACATGGAACGCAGTTGTTGCCTTATCCCGCGAGGCCCACACACAGACACACACACACAAACACACTTGGTGGTGTTTGGTTGAGAGTTTCAATGGCCGAGGTTGCACTACTTTCAGTTCTGTTTCTTTTCTTGGTCGCAATTGCTCAGAGTTGTAGGCAAATAGGTGGCCTCTTGGAGGTCTCATTCCTCCAATGAGTCTGAGTCAGGGCAGCGGTGATCCAGAACAATGGCGGGTGCTGCTACACCAGGAAACGCAGAATCTTCGTGAAGAGTTGCGCAGGGAGATGCGGGAACAGTTGGGGGAGCAACCGAATCTGGAGCAGCTGCTTTCTGGGAATCTTGGCCAAGCCCGCGTGCCGCCCGAGTTGCTAAGGAACTCTGGAAGAAAAACATGTTTGACAGAGGGGAAAAGAGACGACCAGAAAAGGAATCAAACACAAATTCAGTAACAAGAAACTACTAGTACTAGGAGCAAAGATGCTACTAGTAGCTCTTGGCCTTACTACTAGTAGCAAGAAACTTTCTAGTTTGATCAGTTTGATCTTTTATTAATCTATTCTCTTGGCCAATCTATTCTCTTTCGATCTCTGGTGCCAGAAAATGCAGGAGCTTCACATCTGCTACTCCAGTTGGTGCTCCTTCATTGCTCCCCAGACCAGCATGGTCTCGACATGTGTCGGACGGGAAGACAGGGTCGGAGCCCGACGACTCGGAGTTGTTTGAGTGGCATCGACATCCGCGACTTGTTCGACCCCCACGTAGCAACAGTAGCTCTCCCAGCAACAGATTCCGGTACCGTCACCATGGCCATGGTCGAGCTGCGAGCAAACATGGCTCGCCGCACCGCCAGAAGAACAGCTTGCTCCCTCCACACATGCCTGAGGACACTTCCAGCTCTATTTTTGCTCATTTTTTTGTTTTTCCTGAAACAAATCATTTTGTTTTCCTTGTCCTGTACACTGTACACAAGGTGAAAGCTATTCTCTTGGCTTTAGGCCTTGAACGCCACTATATACATTTTACTATTTTGTATATTATTTGTTGTTTTTTGGTCTTAGGTTTCACTTTTGCTTTCTGTGTTTTCCATTCTTTTCCGGTTTATTGATCCTTTTTGCTGCTAGTCACTGCTAGTCCTTGAATTGGCAACCATTGGCCTTCCACGCTGCCAGGAAGCAACCTTGATCCGTTCATCCCGGAGGTTCTCACAGATGTCAAATCCTTTGCTCATCCGCGAGGTCCGAAGCCCTGCCCATCAGTCCTGGAGTTTGAGGGCTTTGGTCGAGTCCTCGCTCTTCTCCAGCTTCATTGGGGCCATGATTCTGATGAACTGCATCTTCATTGGAATTCAGACAGACTATGCTGCTTCCACCTGGCAAGCCAAGGCAGTTCCGTTCTTCGTGGTCAGCACCTTGGCCTGACAGCCTTTGATAGTGTTGGGTCTGAAGCGAAACTGGACGAATCTTCTTTAGGAAAGAAATTCTTTGGCGGTATTTTTCATGTCCCTTAGGTGAGTTTGTTTTTGCCTTCATCTTCCTCCTGGAGCTCATCCTCCGCATTTCTGCCTACAGATGCGAGTTCTTCACTGGATCTGACATGACATGGAACCTCTTTGATACCACACTCATCCTATCTCAGGCGGTGGAGCAGGGGACACCTGGCATCTCCAGTTTCAAGCCTGGAAGAGTTTGGGCATAGCACAGAGATCCACAGCAAAGGTCGCTGTGTCTTCTTCTTTCCTCCGTGAAAAAGAGTGTCTTGCAAAACATGGCAAGATCCGTTGCACCAAGGATCACTGCGGCCATCATCTACAAAAGTGGCGGCCTGCAGGAACATCTGTGTCGGAATCATATCAGTTCGGAGATTGTCGAGAAACGTAGACATAGCACTGACGGTAGAAATGGACTGATCATATGATTTGTTACTCCACGAGTGCGGACGAATGATGATTTTAGCAGAATTCTGTATCCATCTCTGTGGGTCGGAGTCTCTAGGACTTGGATCTTTCACAGCTGACCGACGATGTTGTAGTTTTGCGAGCCTTGCGAATTTTTCGCCTACTTCGCATCTTGCATCTTGGCAAGATGCGAACACGCTCTGGTGTCCCAGTGTGTAGAGATTGCCCTGCATTTTTCTGGGCCAAATTAGTTTTGCATCCTTCAGTCTCTGACCTTTCCGCTATCGGCCTGTTGTATTCATGATGTCACACATGAGTCTCAGATCTTTTCTGATCAATGCAGGCCTGTTCCAACGGTTTTGAATCTATGGTCTATGGTGCTGCTATCAGCTGTCATTCCTCCTTGTATCTTTTGTTCCGAACCGTAGTTGTTTTTGGCACTTTCTGGAGCCTTGCCAAACTTTTCGTTGCCGAAGCTTTGGCTGGATTGGTTCCTTTTGAGCAAACTTTGTCACCTTTTCCGTAGCAGCGGGAGACCATGCTGCTTGTAACTGTCACTGTGATACGCTGAGGCGGATTCTCCGAATCATGCATATCAGCGGGGAACTTCAGGCCACGATATAAGTTTCCCAAAACATCTAAATCTAGGAACCAAATCATTAGCGCGAGCTATCCTGCGTCCTGTCGGTAGTAGCTTACTTGCAGCTAGTATCCACCTCTCCCTCCCAGCGGCCTAGCCCCCCCGCGTGCAAAAACAAAAAGGAAGGCCTTTTCATGTGCCCTGAGAGGCCATCACCACTGCTGTGATGAAGGGCCTTCGGTCGTTTTTATGGACAGTCATCTTCTTGCTGCTTCTTCTGTATGCCGTGGGTGTGTTCATTACGCAGAGTGTGACGGACTTCAAGATCAGTCTCTGTGCCCGCACTTTGTGTCGGTACTGTAATGCCAAGATCACAAAAGGAGGAAAGGAAGGAGAAGTTATATAAAAGGTTCAAATCTTTGAAGTCTATTTTTTCAGGCAAAACGAGAATTGTAAGTCAAGTTTCCCTAAAAATCTAGGAACAAGTGAATAGTGCGAGCGCTTCTTCTAGGAAGCTCCCCCCACCTCCTTTAGGGTGGCGGAGGGAGCTTCCTTGAAGAAGCGTGAGCTATCCTGCGTCCAGTTACTAGTAGCTTAAGTAAGCTAGTAGGTGCCTACTTGATTAAGGGAGGGGGGGAGAGGGCTAAAAGAACGGTTTCTTTAGGTTTGGAAAGCCGCGGCTCCTTGGACCCCGAGTTGGGCGACTATTTTGGATCACTGGCTGAGACGATGTTGGCACTCTTCCAGGCCGTCACGGATGGACAGGAATGGCGTGAGATGTTGAAACCGCTGATGACCGAAATCTCGCCATGGATGGCGGTGCCCTTCTGCATGTATATCTCGTTTACCGTCTTTGCCTTGTTGACTCTCGGCCTGAACAAATACTGTATACGTGCCACCAGCGCCTAGGGAAACATTGTACCAGAAGGCGAACATGAAGTCGGTACATGTGAGATCAAGATTGAATTAAGCTTCCATGCAGGAACAAACGCAAGATTGTGTTGCACTGGACTGTGGCACATACCGCCACACATTTGACACGACGTTTTAGTTTGTATGGACACCACATTCAAGCCATGAGCTATGCGCGTGCAACACATAGGCAACACATAGCAGATTGCTATCAGCATTCAAGACAGGCGCCATAAATTTTAGATTCGCCGTCGCATTTTCGCCACAAGACAAAATGTGATACACTCTGTTCAAAGCAGATACGCCGTGAGATAGTGTCTGAGACATCATGGAATTAGGTAAAGAAAGACATTGAAGGGTGGAACCATAGCGATCACCCAAAGCATTTTTTAGCTACTAGTAAGGAGTAATGACATCCATGACGGAGCACTGTTTGAGCTGTATTTAGGGAAAACTGCGCTAGAGCATTGTGTCCAAGAAAGTTGGCATCATAGTCTGCTTGATGAGTTTGATCCAGGATTTTCATTCTGGTTCATGTCCGTTAGCCTCTTCTACATGGCAAGCACTTTTCGAAAACTCATGTCACAGCTATTCAAATTATTGAAACAATTTGACCCTGCGCATTTCTTATAAACCACGACTTTTCCTTTACCATGCCTTTAACTTGCAGCTTTGGCATGGACACAACAGATGTGCAGTTGCACAAGCGTGTGTTACAATTACATGTGAAGATGCTCAATACGGCATTGACGTTATATTCATGTGATGTGCGAATTGACAGCTGCTTTAGGTAAGTGTTCCTTTTGCTGCTGCACCGTGCCGTATTGGAAGCACGTGATTTGGGATTATGCAGGGAACCCGTTTCGAGCTCCCCACTTGTCTCCTTACCGAAGGTTCGTTCTCCTTCAATGCTGCCACTCCGAGATTCAAATCGGTGACGAATGTCCGTCCAGTGTTTGGTGAGCACATTGTCCCAGAGGTCCCGATTGCCTTGAAAGGGAGGAAGTTTAGGTGACGGCTTCGGTTTATAATCATGGACCTGTGAAATCTGAAGCCTGCATGTCACGTGTTAGAGCAACAACCTTGTGATCGGCAAGGATGATGTAACATGCAGGGACATTGGATTGGAGGGGCGTTTTTGTTTCGGATTTTTTTCATTGTTTTTTTTTCGGATTCTGCTTTTGCTGCGTTTCTGCTTCTGCTGCGTTTTTGCTTTTGTTGCTTTTCTGCTTTTGCTTTTCTGCTTCTGCTGCTTTTGTTGCTTTTCTGCTTTTGCTGCTTTTCTGCTTCTGCTGCTTTTCTGATTTTTGTGTTTTTGTCTTTCTGCTCTTTGCTTTTGTTGCTTTTCTGCTTTGGCAGCTGTTCTCCTTTCACTTGTTGTTTTTGCTTTTGCATCTGTTTGCTTTCTAACCTTTGGATCTGGTGTGCTGCTGGGGGGGGGGGGGCGCAGCCCCCCCACCCCCCCCGCGCCACGAAATCTGCACTTATCTCCGACACCCGCGCCTGCCACGAAATCAATATTTTAAGGTGAACTCCCCGGGGCATAAACTTCTAACCAATCATATATGCCTCCTGTGCTGGTTCTCCTTCTCTTTACTGTTTCTCTGCTAACGTAGGACTTTCTCTGACACCTACACTATGCCAATGTATTTTGCCAGCTACGACAGCTCCCAAATTAGTCTAATCAGCTAGCAATTAGTATGAAATTTGCAGTATTCCAATGTATTTGGCCAGCTACGACACCTGTGTCTCGGCTAAGGACACGAAATTGCTGTAATTGGCTAGGTACTAATAAGAAACCTGCTCTATTCCAATGTTTTTGAACAAATTACCAAAAACATAAAATCCCAAATTAAACGTGCACCCCATTGGATTCAGCACTAGGGACATATGGTGGGTTCTTCAAAGGCAAAAAGACGATGCGCAGAGGTTACATTAAAGTCCCCGAAAAAAGAGAGGTGTTGGTAGCCTGACCAAAAGCTTCCTGAGATTCCAGTTTGGGAGGAATATAGAGGGACGTTGTGACCTACCTCCGTCTCTATCTCTCTTTCTCTCTCACAAGGAACATCCTCACCGGTATCTTTGTGGACTCGGCACTTCAGAATGGGCAAGAAGAAAAGCGTCGCTTTCTATTGCAAGAAGTGGGACAGCTCTTCTTGGAAGCTGACAAGGTGGCCGTGCTTGTTTAGAGAAAGGAACGGACGAAACATAGAAAAAGATACAGATAGTTCAAAGAAGAAAAGATAAGTAAATGGAACTGGCCTTGTTAAAACCTCAAGATTTCTCCAAACGGCTTGCCCTGTTTTGCAGTGACTCTGTAAAGCAAGCTCGGCCCAGTGGAACCTCGGGCCATGTGGGCCGCAGGAGCAGATGACGTGGGTGGATTTCCAGGCTCAACTGGAGAATCCACATTTGCAACAGTTGTTTGCAGCCTTGGATGTGACGGAAGCTCGTCATCCACATTTCTGACAACATTTTCAAAAATCAAATGAGTTAAACGAGGAAGATGGTAGCTGCGTGCTGAGGAAGAAGATGCCTCTATGCTTTTTCATATGTTGGATGCTTCACACGAGGGCCACATTCAAGCCGACGAGTTTCTCAACGGTTGCCTGCGCTTGGATGGCCCGGCCAAAGCCATCGACTTGGCGGCCTTCATGGAGGAGTCTCGGAAGGCTGCGGGTTTGTCTGGAAAAAATGGGGGAGGAAATAAGACAAATGAGGAGATCAGGGGATGGTATGGACAGGGCGGTTCGGGCAGGGCATGGGGTACCTTTTTGAAGGGCTCAGAAGTGAACAGCAGACAGGGAGAAAAATGGGAGAAGGGGATAGACACAACTCTTCACTTGGTGCGGAGAGACTTCACAAACCTCTCCAGGTGAATCGAACTTTCCTGACACAGGTGCCTTGGCAGTCAAGATGCACCAAGTATGGATTGTGCAGGGTTTGTGGGCCTAGTAAGGCACTTGTTCCTAGTAGCGATGCACTTGTTCCTAGTAACTTCTTGTTCCTAGTAACTTCTTGTTTCCAGTAGCTTCTTGTTTCCAATAGCTTCCTTCTTGTTACTACTAGTAAGGCACTTGTTCCTAGTAGCGATGCACTTGTTCCTAGTAACTTCTTGTTTCTAGT